TTTAATATAGCTTTAAATATACATATTATATTTTTCATAAAGCACGAAGTTAATATAAGAAGTTTTTCCTTGAAAAGAACCAAGCAAACGCAGGAAAATAAATAATGCAAGGCAATAACAAAATATTGCCGGACGACGAACAGAGGCGTAGCAAAAGGTGATTTGCATTTGCTTCTTTATGTGCAATTATTTTGCGATATAATGCTGAATGTTATTAGACCCGCATTGCAAAAGGATGTAAAGTAGTTCCATTTGTCACGGTGATTAGTTGAGGCATGAAAAAATAATACAATTTAATGAGTAAACTGGTGTGGTTTAAAATAGGTGTGTGAGGCGAGGGATTCTAATTAGACAATGAGCTAAGCGGTTTTTTTCAGCGTGTTTTAATGAATTAATTATTTAAACGTCCGGCGCGTTTTGTTCTAATTTATGAGTCACAAGTAAACCATGGTGTATGTAATATAAAGCGCAAAGTAAATAATAGAGTTTATACTGAATATTAATGATCAATTTCATTGTCTTTTTTTTATTATTAAATAGGGCACTAGGTAACATTTGGACATAAAACAGAATATAGATCACACGAGGCATTTAACCAGCATGACTTGATGCGCTTTAATTACTAATAAAAGGCAATTATTTATACATGGAATTACTGATGTTATTATTTTGTAATTATTTTTTTACATTAATAGCTCTTCTAAGTCTCTGTTCGGTATCATCAACACGCAACCATTATGCATGAGTAAAATTGCTGCTTGAATTGGTACTAAAAAAACTACGCCGTATCATTGGTATACAATCACAGGTATATAATTACGCATTTATATATTCTAGCTCAATTACATTATCTACGTACGTACTGAATTAGGTATTCTATAGGTGTTGTGATTAGTTTTCTAGAGCGGATGTACGTAAAAAATAAAAAAAAAATTGTCGCTTTCTTTTAAGTTGCTAATAATGTGATAGTTCAGGGAGTTTCTGTTGGAACACTGAAGGGTTGCAGATTTGTGCTAATGCTTTGGAAGAGAAATTCTTGCATAAAATTGCAGTTTAACATTTGAGTTAATTGTAATTTAGTGGTTCTATATCAGGTACTCGTCAATCTGTTATATCGACTAGTCATTGCTATTTGGAACTTTGAGTAGGCTGTTAAGAAAATTTGTTAAACATTCTCAGTCTAGTTATCTTTAATTTAACTGGCCTCAATCTAAAACAAACGAAAAATTTATTACATTTAACAAAAAGCGGTTCTTTGACCGTTTTGTTAATATTTCTTCAGTATCTGATTTTCGTGCCTTCTTGCAATTTACTCTTTTTTGCTCTTTTTACTCGTTTAATCTGGTTTATTTGTTTTACATGATTTTGCTAAACTTACGTCTGTGACAAGAAAACGATTATAATGACAGGTAAATTGTAAAAGAAATTTTTGCTGGATTTACTGGCCTTGCAATAGTAATTCTTTTATCAAGGGGATTTTTCGCGGCTTAAGCGGACAAATAATTTGTGCAATAAGAAGAATTATTTGTCCGCTTAAGCCGCGAAAAATCCCTTTCATTTAGAATTTTCGGACACTAAAAATTCTTGATTGGCGATTCCTTTCTTTTTTCTAGTGTTAATTTAACTTATTTGTTTCTCGGTGTGTCGTCACTCTTCACTCGTCATRAAGTAATTCAAATTCTTGCTGTTTAGTACTCAAAAGTTTGCTGTAAACGAAAATATAGGTGCGAAGAATCAGAACAATAACTAAATACGTTTCGTTCCACTCATGTTAAGTTATTTGGTTCTTAATTTACCGAGGAGAAAAGAGAAGTAACTAAATGGAAAACATGCAAATGTTAAGATCAGAAGAGCACGTATGCAAAGAATTTATAAAGCAATTTATCTATACAAAGCCAAAATTTGTCACACAGTGGACGATTGGATAAGCTAAGGCACGGCTAAAATCATGAGTTTTTGTCTGAAGAAAGTAAAAGAAAAAGTAGTTGTGCAGGTTAAAAAATAGTTAGTAAGTAGTCACTTGCACATACACTTTAGAGGCTTTGGGAAGTTCCCGTTAACAACCGTGTTAGAAACGAGGACTTTTCAGATTATTATTTGGACTGATGTCTGATACAGAATAGAACCTAAGTATGCAGGAATTAATAATTCAACTACCACCATAGTGTGACTGTGTTTCTTCACAATATTAATAAAACAAATTCTAGAACTTTTAAATGGATTTTAAACGAATACCTTGTTTTCACGTAATTCCTGTAGGACCCGGACTGTTGTCGTAAATGTTACAACTGAAGAAACTTGATTGAAAAAATACATGCTCAAAACAGGTTTTACGATTACCTAAAGCCTACAGCGCCCAATTGCTACCAAATTACTCAAAACTAAAATGTCTATACATGTTTCAAACTACTCTAGATGTGTGCTTTACACATCTTCACCTACATATTTATAGTAACTTCTCTGACTTTGAGCCTTGACCGTTAAAATTCAATTTGGCTGGTTGTGATCCAATGCATAAGCTATAAACCATTTTCTAGCAGTATTAGATGGAAACAGGAAAAATATCTGGGCGATTACGATACGTCAATGGCAGGAACGTATGTATCGGCCAAACGGATACCTTGTAGAGTTTAATAAAAATGTCAGAGCAAAGCAACTGGCAGGAGCATTAAGGGGACAGGGGTCTTCCAGCAGTTCTGTTTGGCTCTAATATAATATTAATACACGTACACAAGGGAAATTGTTTGATGCAAATGTTTGCCGCAGAGATGATTGATTGGAGAGGCCAAAGGGAACTGATATGATATATAATGCACAAAAGCAAACGGGGTATTGATACATTAACTCGTTGAGTAATCGATAAAACTAAATGACTCGAGAAAAGTGTCCACTTCAGCGCAGAAATTATGTCCACAAGCCGAGTAATTATTAAGCATTATAAATGAGTTTGTAAAAATATTCATTAACGCCTGTTACTCTAAACAAATAAGATCCTACGGCGCTTTTTCCTCTTAATTTAAAACGGCAAAAAATCTACTTCTTCGGCCTGTATTTCCTCGAACTGTTCTAAAACAAAGGATACTTTTCAAGTTTTTAATTAAAGTAAATTACTATTTCGCTTTATTACCTCAAAAATTAAAATTTCTTTTTGTGTATTTTTCGTTTATTAGCCCTTCTTTCTACGTTATAAAGTTAATTATGTTTTCGCTTACACAATAAAGAGGCAAATTTGTACTCTCGGGCACAAATAATTGTTATTTTTACGCTAATTACAAAATTGAATTAGGCTGGGCCTTTTTAATTCTCTCCTTGTGGGGCATTGATTTCGGTAACGTGTTTCGCTTATTAACTTTGCCAGCAAATCCTTAATGAGGAGCAAACAGGATCAGAACGAAAGAACAAGCCTGCAGCTGCAAGAAAACAATTGGAARCTTTTAACGATTTGTTTAATTTTAGTGTCTGCCTATTCTAATCTTGCAGATAATATAGAGGCATAGAGAGTATTAATAAGTTTGTAGATTTTGTTGACAAATAGATACACTGCACAAAAAAACCAAACAAGACGACATTTTTGGCGATTTAAAAATATTTTTAGAAATAAAACTCTAAATCTTACTTATATGAATAGCTTTAGGTATATCTGGTAAATATATGTGTACTTGGCAATATGTTATATTTTGGGTAGCAATTTAGTATAGTCTTTAGTACCATCAGAAAAGTATTTTGCACGCGGTTTTAAGGTTAATTTTTGTGTGTAACGTGTTTTTTTTCCATATTTGGTTCAGTTAACTGCATAACCTAGCGGCTTTAAAGAAAAGCTGGTTCTTGAGCTCGCTACAAAACTCAACACTTTCAGGCGTTAAATGTGTAATTGAGAGTCAAGATTATTGGGGTAGAAAGTTCAGAGATAAACAAAAACGATTTTAAACACAATTTAACTCATAGTTAATGCGAGTATGTTATCTCTAATAACGTAGGTATTCTCATTGAATAACGAAAATTTTTGTATTTCATAATTTTCATTTTGTTTATTATTTTTACTTTACATTATTTTGCCTCAGATTTTAGGACCGTTGTAAAGGGTTATCTCACCTTTCTATCTATTATGAATTAAGAATCAATATTAATTTTTATTTAAGCAATTATTTCTTGCACAAAGTGAAACATTTATGGTTTCTTTTTGTAACATTAAATTTTTTATGAAAATTTCAGAAGATGTAAGGATAATAGCAACAGTTAAATCAAACGAGAGTTTTTAAAAACCGTTAAATAGATGCTTATTTTGTCATATGAAGATGTGAGCGATAGAAGACTTTTTCACATCTCAAATTAAAAATATAATCCGGTTTTTATAAGTTGTAAGAAAGTCAATATCTTAAGGATGAATTAAAACACAGTTCATTTAAATAATGAAAATATAGCGTCGAAAAACCATATTCCAATTGGCACCTGTTTAGATTTTTCAAAAATAGACCATGTTGGAACGCATTTATTTAAATTCTTGATAGCTTTACTTGCGTATTTACAGTAGGTTGTGTTAGTTGACTCTGCTTAATCAAATATTGTTTTATTTTGCATAGCTACCAGCTTTCAGTATTTTTTGCTTTTGTGTATTTAATAAATATACACGGTAGTTCGATTTTAATTACACGGGTTTTTATCGCCAGTCAGTTGACTTAAAAATAAATTTGTTGTTCTTTCCACGATACAAAGATGATCAAATTCACATTCATTGCCGAGCTTAAAGAGAAAACAAACAAAAAGAAGAAGAGATAAAATTTTTAACTTTGATGCCACATTTACTTTAGCACGAGAATAAAATATTTTTTGCCTTTTAATTGGCACAAAAATCTCACTTTGGAGTAGAAGCAACGTGCCTTGCTTCTTGTCCAACCCATTTTTTGGGTCGGTTCTTTTTGCCGTTCACTTTATTTAAAAAACGTTTTCATTTCTACTCAGTTTCCGTCAAAAATCAACAGTTTTGTTCTCTCATTTTCCAGATAAAGGGCCGGCCTAACGGCCCCATGATGACCATGGACGTGTCGAAGACGGAGGCAACGAAGCCTACAAGTAGCGGCAATCCTCAAGAATGTGCGGGTTGCTGTAAACCGATTACTGAACGGTACTTGCTCAAAGCACTCGACATGTACTGGCACGAGGACTGTTTAAAGTGCGGTTGTTGTGATTGTAGATTAGGCGAAGTCGGATCCACCCTGTATACAAAAGCGAATTTGATTTTGTGCAAACGGGACTATTTAAGACTGTTTGGAAATACAGGGTATTGTGCCGCGTGTAGTAAGGTGATTCCGGCCTTTGAAATGGTGATGCGAGCTAGGAGTAACGTTTATCACTTAGAGTGTTTTGCCTGTCAGCAGTGTAATCATAGGTAAGTTCAAACATTTTTCTGTTTACATTCTAGAGGCTGCAGCAAATAACACAGAAAAGCAAACCTTAAAGATACAACTCCGGTCTCTTGATCTTGATACAGACCTCTGTTGACCAGTATATTCTGTAACAGCAGTGCTTTCCATTCTCTATTTCATGGGGCGTCAAGTTCTTCAATGAAATTCTTGATTTCTTTACATTCTTTGTACGTTTTACTTACTCATATTTAACCAAATGAATAGATTACGTTAATTTTTCTTCTTTGATAAAATTAAATTAGTTGTTCCACCAGTTTTATTTGAAGCATTTCATATACAGTCGTTTTCTGTTATTATTTATTTAGATCTGCTGTAAGAATAAGTTGCAATGCCGATATTAAATGCATTGACTGTTTCAACTTCTTGATGACTTTCCTGAATGTACGGTATTTGTATTAGATTCAAGTATCCATCAGGTGGAAGTGAAGATGCTTCCGAGAATTGCTTCACGTATAACAAGATAATGTTTAAAGTCCGAGAGTTGCAAATAATTAACAGAATCACATCAATAATTGGCACATTGAATTAAACTTTATTTAAAATTAATTAAATTTACTTGATTTATTGTTCTAAACTTTGCGCTCATCCACGGATACTGACGATCAAGTTCTAATTGGAAATGGCGTTCTCATGATCCTAATAATTTCTCGATTTCTATATTACTTCTACACAGACATTTGGTTCTTTCGCAATAGGAGCCTTCTTGGACTAAACGATCACAGAAAATATAATTTTATAAACCTTTCAATTGAACATTGTATAAAACGTTTTCAATCTTTACCCGTCTAGAAAAAGACATGTGATCTGAAGCAGATCTAAAATGTAGTTTCTTCTTCAGTTAAGCCACTTTTTTATAAAAGTTCTTGTTTGATTTAATATAGTGAGCAACTGCAATCTTTGAACGTACTAAAGTAAGTCATTCCTAATCCATTTTTTCAATTCTTAATAGCACTTCGATTTCATTTGCGACTATAATAAATAATGCGAAAAAACCAGAAAAGCATACTAGACGACTTAAATACTTAATTTATTTTCCTTAAAACAGTCTAATTTTAAGTTGCCTGTTGCTTAAATGGGACGGCAAAAACGAAGCACAGTTTAGGCAGAACTGGACTAAACTTGAGATTTTTCTTGAAATCTAAAGCTGTCTTGGAACAAAACTTGTAGAGTTATTAGACCCAACCATCAAACAGTATTATTATAAATCTGATGTCAACAACTTGACTTTTTTGGACACATGGCAAGCATTTTGTATTATTTAATTTATTTTTTATTAGATTCTGTTACCTCCAGAGGTAAATTTCTCCAATTTTCATTAAAATATTTGCCTTTATGACCACATCAACTATCTTTGAAAATAAAAAGGATTTTAAATATTCTCTGGGGATTTTTCGGGTAAAGTTCACCCCCATATTTAAAAACGGCCGTCTCGCCTTAATAAAATCAAGTCGCTGCTTTTAAATGTGCCTTTTTACAATGCTTAAGTTTGTTTGCTTCACCTTGTCTTTCTTACTTTGAACTTTTTCAAATGTAAACAATTTATTTATCAACTGGCTTTTCTGCGATGCAGTTTGTTATTAATCAATTATTTACATTATTAATCAATTATGACCAGTTAGAAGTTGCAAAATATGAAATACATTTTTGTCGAGCATATTATGGCATGAAGTTTTTTTAATCATTGTAAAATACTTTAAATTTACCATTAGATTAAATATTTGCATGTGATCATGAAACACTTCGTATATTAGGTTTGTTAAACACTACAATTTTGATATTGTCAGTTATTTGAAAGTTATAGCTAAGCACAAGATTCCCGGACATTTCTCGCTTTTCACAAAATATATGAAAAATGCAAAATATTTTTCTGTTCCGAATAGAGTAATAATTAAGGACCAATCATTTGACTACCTTTGAGGGATTTTAAGCACAAGTTTTTTTGTATCCTTAACCATGCTCAGCTGCAACAATGCTTTCTATTGTTCAAGCATAAAATCTCAAGTATGTCTATCGATTACAATAAAATTTATTGAACGTCTTAAGATTACAATCGCATCCGCCACTCCGCTCAGAGCCTTTTTTCAGTTTTGTAATTCCCCTGGACTTAATTGACGTTTCAGAATGTAATCTGCCCAATATATGAAATGAAAAGGCCATTTAAATACATTATATAATATCATTACAGAGAAAATGATGAATTTAACTGTGTAATTTAAGGGAGGATATTTAAATTCCGGACAAATCGAGTCTACGGTTAAAAATAGAAAAAAATATAGTCTACTGGGCACTGTATATTTCATAAAAGGCAATCATTTTATCGACAAATTAGCCGAAAAACGTATAACAAATGTTTGCCCAAAAACAAAACAAAATCTAATATAAAACGCACAATGGCCTAATAAAACACAATTCACAACAAAAACTGCAATTATAAATATGACAATATATCGCCATTGGACGCAACGTAATGCAGTTAAATATATTAATAATTGCAAACAATAAAAGTGGATTATTTTGCATGGGTGGCCGCAGTAATATTTCAGAGTCCTGGAAAAACCGACATGCTAAACAAAGAGGACACCGATAGGGAAGGACAATAATGGCTTCCACTCGTTTCACGTTTCAGCCTGGACAATGTATTTTAATTTAGAAACATTACTTCGAATAGGACATTTACCGAGACATTTACCTACCGTTTTCGACTTTTATTCATATGCATTATAGGGCAGAGCCGTATTTTCATGTTGGAATTAAATGCCTTCCCGATCATGTAAAAGCAAATTATTAGATTTTATCTAATCAACTAAAAAAAAGTTTATTATTTAGCAAAGCTGGATGCATTTGGAATATGTGGCCTTTCCTATTAACATTAGGAAAAAATCTCTGACTGCTTCTGCAAATATTCAGAATGCAGAACCAAACGCTTTAAGCGATTCTCTATAATTTTCCTGTACCCTGAAGGTTTTTTTAAGTATTATTAGACGTTAATGGGAAACTATTGTATTTCTTCGGAATATATCCAAACTGTGTTACATTAATCACCAATAATCCCTTCCGTCGTCCAGACGACTTTATTACCCCAAGGCATTTTGAGACGCTTGAGTAGAAAAATGTGGGCTTATCAGTCATCTACTTCTGTGACTTAATACGCGCCTTTGACTGCATCTGCATTTCTTTTTTGTCAAACATCTTTAAGACCTATTTATATTTTATATATATTCATCTTTATTATCTGTCATTATTGAACCGAAATCCCCATGCGAGGTTCAATATACGAATGAGTAAGCTCTTCTTAAACAACCGTAAAATTATAGTTACAGTTGCGATTTTCTGTCTTAGTGACGATAGACGGTGAGCATTATTATTATTATTATTATGGATTGAAGAAAGGCTTACTGATGAGGTGAGTTTTTCAATGCACATCTGCACAATGCATGTCAAGGTTTAATGTGCATTTCTGAAATTTAATTTTGTCAACAATTTTGGAAATCCACTCTTTATTCATATAAAAGAACCAAGATTTAAAGCAAAAGGACACATTTATACGAGGAACGGATTGAATTATTGGCTTTTATAATTTGCGCTCATAAAATATTAGGCGTTTTAATTAGTTTTACCTAAAACATGCAAAAACTGCTATAATCGTATTTATTCAAGTTGGAACATAACTAGAACACACCAGGCGATGAATCCATAAGTTAAAACTGAATTATCTAAAGAGTAGAAAGAGGTATTAGATAAACCCGAGATTAACCATTATATTTTGAGCTTGCTTTGCTTAATCGAGATATCTGATTTTTCAAGATTTGAACATATTAGTGAAATAAATAATGAGGTAGCGCTAGAAGAGACTCTATTAGAAATATTACGATCTTCGCACAGAGATGTGTGTTGAGTGTGTTCGCACAGACATGGAATGATAGGAGAAATCGGTGTAAAAGCCGGCAAAACAATTAGAACCAATTGAAAGCAAACATATCCTAAGGAGAGAAATCTTTTGCAAGCAACAGAACCATCTTGATATAAACGTTAACAAAACCATCTTGATATAAAAACGTTTCATTTTTTGGTGTAAAATTTGTAAGAAAAAAATTCACGTTCAACGTTCATATTTTTTAAGAAAAGAATCTGAAGACCTATTCATTACCGATTTGAAAATAAACGTCTGAAATAAACCGAAATAATAGGAAGCAATTTGACTTGTGGGAAGATTTTTGGCCTTTATGGAAACGGTTTTAACAAAGAGAAAAGTGAACTTGTTTTGGCGTGCAATAGTAATTTTGCAGTAGAAACATTATATTAACAATTTTTTAAATACATTTTCCAAAAAAATCACGCCACGTAATGTTGATATTCAAAATCAATAGAATTTTAAATTTTGCCCAACATTTTTACATTTACATACATTTTTTGTTCTCTCATCAAATTTTCTATCTCAAAATGTAGCCAGACTGTTCGACGTGTTTACTATATTTTGTTGATTTCATGACGTTGTGTAGCAGACCGGCATTTTCATATATCTTTTTGTATTAAAATAGAATATTTCCATTAAAACGCTGATTTTCGTTCAATCTATAGAGAGTTTTACGGGGTTTTGCCGCACTTTAAATACATTACATCAAGAGCTGTGCTATCAATGATCAATGTTCAGGAAACTTGAAGACTTTGGTTTAATTCAATAAACCAACGAGCGAAGCAACCAATGAGTAAGAAAAATAAATAACTTATATATTCACATAGCCTTCACATCTGCGATTTTTTGTCGCAGTTTTCGATGTTTTTTTTTGTATGGAAACGCCGACAAAGTCTTCGATGCTTGTATTATATTGTATTTCAAAGTAATTAACTTCAAGAGAATCTCTTCAATATTTGACGTGTTATTCGACAGTACGTTAATTAAGCAGCCTTTGCGCGAATTGTCCAATTTGCCACACCCTCGACAAATTGCCAATCAACAAATGCT